ACAGGAAATGGAAAAATTGGAGCAGCAGAAACAGCATGCCATGGACCAAATCAAGAATCCAGTGCCATCCTCTCACACAGAAACACATGTTCAAACTGAAGCAGAGTCTGAAGAAGTCTGGAAAAGGATAGCTAATGGCTCTTCAATTACCTCAGCCAAAATTCCTTAAGTACCTTTGACTGCATCCTATCTGTCCCTCCTGATTTGAAGCCATCTAGCTTCTCTAAGTAATCCCTAACCTGTTCTGCCATTACTCTAAGCTTTTTGTCTCCTTCCCTGTTTCTGCTGCCAGCTGCACTTGTCATTTGGTACCTGTTCCCTATTTATGATAATGAAAATAAAAAAGTCATAAAGACTAAAAAAACCTTCTCTGCACTTTGTTACTAAACTGCCTTTTGCATTCTGTAAAAGGCCTATGGAATCCCTGGTTTTCCACTGACTTTTGACATAACCTTAGAATCTCTTTTTGTTGCCTGTTACATTCCTTGCTAGCTACATCTTAAATTGTGCCTTGCCCTTTCCTAATTTTCTCCCTGAAAGCCTGTGTGTCATTCTTATACTCTTTCCTGGTGGAAAGTAACTTGGGTGACCAAGTTTTCACTTTTTATTGGATTCCTTTTTGAGTTTCAACTGCTTGAAGAGATCGCTATCTAGCCAGGATTGTCTTCAGTTGCTCTTCCCCTTCTTCTTTCTCATTGGGATAGCTTGCTCATGAACCTTTAAGAAAGCCTCGTTAAAGTATAGCCTGTTCTTCTGGACTTTTTTTACCCTCAGACTTGCCTCTCAAGGGATCCTACCTAGTAGGTCCTTGAATGTGTTAATGTCTGCTTTTCTGAAGTCCAGTGGCCTTATTCTGGTGATCTCCTTCCTCCCTCCCATCAGGATATTGGACTCTTATAATTGTGTGGTCATTGTCACCCAAGTTACCTTCCACCTTTCTATTCTCAACCAAGTCCTCCTTGTTTGTGGGCGTTAAGTCAAGAAGACCTTCCTTCCTCATTGGCCTCTCTACCATCTGAAACAAAGTTATCCTCAAAACACTCCAGAAACTTAATGGACTGCCTTTACACTGCTGTGTTTCCCTTGTCCCAATAATTAAATTAAAGTATTATGTCCCAATAATTAAAGTCCTCCATGAAAACCAAGCCCTGAAATTTGAAAGCTTCTGTCAGTTGTTTCAAGAAGGCCTTGTCTACCCCTCCACTTGGTTTGGAGACCTGTAACAGATGCCCACCATCACATCCCCCTTGCTGCTCTCAGCAGGCCTACCATCCACTTCATACTGCACCTCTGAACAGGTGTACATTGCCTTTATATATATATATATATATAGGGCAACACATCCTCTTTTTCCACTGCCTATCTTTCCTGAAGAAGCTATCCCTATCTATAATTGTACTCTAGTCGATTGAACTATCCCACTGTGTCTCTTCAGTCTGCCTCCCCAAGAAACAAGGTGCATGTCTTATTGGAAGATGTGTAGTACTCAAGAAAATACTGAAAGTTATTATGCTTACAGGGAGACCTGTGATTTTAGATCATTTTGTCACTTTTGGGTGCAGGCCTCAGGAGACAGGCCTGACATATTCCCCTGGATGAAACCCTGTGCTCTAGCCACTTTTAAATCTGTTTATCAGTTGCCTTAACCCAAAAAAATCCAGTTTTGCTACTTACATTCCTTTTCTCTGGGTGCTTATGAGAGGGACTGATTAAAGTAACTGAAAAACCCCACCTATTCAAAACAAAGATTTATTATTTCTTTCTCTCAGGGATGCCTCGCACACAGAGCAGAGTTAAAACAACAAACAGCACATCTACACTGATACCTTAAAGTCAACCCATTGTCTGAACCTTTGCTACCTACATCACACTTTGCAGCAGGTAGCAAAGCCATCCTTAATGGGCTGTTTATCTGTTTCGCACTGCACTAGGATGAATCCCAGGCTTGTTTACTGAATACTTAGATTCATAGAAAAGTAGGGTTGGAAGGGACCTTGGGAGGTCATCTAGTTTAACCACTTGCTCAAAGTAGGACCATCCCAAACTAAATAATTCCAGCCAGGGCTTTGTTAAGCTGGGCCTCAAAAACATCCAAGGATGGAGATTCTACCACCTCTCTAGGTAACCCATTCCAGTGCTTCACTGCCCTCCTAGTGAGAAAGTTTGTCCTAATATCCAACCTAAACTTCCCTTGCTGCAACTTGAGGCTGTTGCTCCTTGTTCTGTCATCTGACACCACTGAGAACAGTCCAGCTCTTTAGAACCAACCTTCAGGTAGTTCTAGGTTATCAAAAGCTGCTATTAAATCCCCCCCACAGTCTTCTCTTCTGCAGACTAAACAAGCTCAGTTCCTTCAGCTGCTTCTCATAAGTCATGTGCCCCAGCCCCCTAACCATTTTTGTTACCCTCCATTGGACTATCTCCAACTTTTCCACATCCTTCTGTACTGCACCCGGGGGGGGGGGGGGGGGGGACACAAAACTTTACACAATACTCCAGTGTAGAATAGAGAGGAATAATTAAATAATTACTTCCCTCTATCTCCTGACAATGCACCTCCTTATGAAGCCCAATATGCTGTTAACCTTCCTGGCAACAAGGCCACACTGTTGACTCATATTCAGCTACTTGTCCACTGTAACTCCCATGTCCTTTTCTGCAGAGCTGCTGGTTAGCCAGTTGGTCCCAAGCCTATAGTGGTGCATAGGATTCTTCTCTCCTAAATGCAGGACTTTGTGCTTCTCAATGTCGAGCCTCATGAGATACTTGTAAGCATCAGTCTGAAGATTATACCTGTTCTCCTTCTGGCTTTTCTCTACTTGGTGACAATAGAAAAAGGAAGTAGGGTACAAAGGGGCTGGAAGATGAAAACAGGGAGTTGTGCTTGAGGCTTGCATGCGAAGGTAGGTCCCAATGCTGTGAAGGAAGGGGGAAACTAGGAGGTGAGTGGAGGGATGGACTGCTAGCATAGAAGGGGGATGAGCTAAAGAACAGACAGTATAGACCAGGAGTAGGCAACGTTTTTTGGCCGGAGTGCCAAAAAAACCACAATGTCTACCTTGGAAGGTGCTGGAGTGCCGGCCTACCAGAAAAACAAAATGGGGGGGGGGGAAAGGGGGGGGGTACATGGCAGGACACGCTGCATATTAGTATATTTAATAATCATAAATGTGTCCTTTGTTATGTATTCCTTTTTTGTTGAGCATGTTGCAATGAGAGAAAAAAAGACACATAAGAGAAAGAGTGAGAGAAAAAAAAAGGAAAGCATTGAGAGAACCAGACACATGCACACAGAGAACCACATGCACAAACACAGAGAGCCAGAACACACCCAGAACAGACACATGCATGCACACATCCAGAACCAGACACATGTGTGTGCACACACGCAGACAGGACCAGACAGAGGCAGACAAACACACAGAACCAGATGCACGGTCACACAGAACTGGGCTCCTGGGCCACTGGACAAAGTCCACTCTGAGGCATGCATGCACCCGCCGGTATGAAGCTAATGCCAGAGCAAGAAGCAGATGATTGCCGCCTCCCGGGTGCAGCCAGCCCAGGCTCTGGGTACCTGCTGCCAACCACGGCTGGGCTTGCAGCTGCCCAGCTGCCTACTGGGAGCAGCCCAGGCTTCGTGGCTGGCAGCAGCTGCCTAGAGCACAGGCCGGCAGTGGCGTGCCGAGCAAAATGGCCTCACGTGCCATGCCCAGCACACACGCCGGGGGGTTGCTGACCCCTGGTATAGACCAATGATTTTCAACCAGTGTGCCATGGCACCCTGGGGTGCAGCAAAATCTTTTGAAGGGTGCCAGGAGGTATAAAGAGATAAGCAGGTGTGAAATGATAAAATGCAGGCTCAAGGTTCTCCCTGCTTGTCCACTGCTCCTCCCCCAATGTCTGGCCCCTGTGCAAGGAAGTAAGCACAGTAATAAATAGATTTTTTTTTAATGAGTTGATGCTTAATACACAGAAGTTACAGAGAGCTGCTTTGAATCAAATGAGGGCAGGACTTAAATCTAAAAAGGTTGAGAACTTCTGGTATAGACAAATGTGTACAGGGGATTGAGGGGGGAAGTATATTCAACCCTACCTATCAGTACAGACAAAGCAAAAAGTCCTTCCTTTCACCTAAACTTCAATCTTTCCTTGAGAGCATTGCAAGTTTCCCTCAGATGAGATAAACCATATCTCTGCCTGAGAGAAGCAGACTGTCATGTCAGAGAATGTTTTTTTCTGCCTCTGTATCTCAATCAATATAGGTATCAGCCTCAGTCTACTGACAGCCCTCTTACTCTTTCATTAAGTTTAGCATCTTTCAAGTATAGGATTCCCTAGGCTACGGTAAAGGAAGACAACTAGGCCACACCCCAGTTAATATAGATAGGTATTTCAAATAGGGGCCTTATCTTTGTCATTGTTCCATATCAGATTCATTCCCTCCTTTGAGGTAGCTCTTGGTAATCAGGCACAGTAATATCAAACAGATAATCAGGTGACTATGATGTTTATGAAAATAAATGCACTTATTTATAATATCACTTTCCACCACAGGTGCAACTGGTGAGATTTTGCAAGGGAGGGGTCGGCATGTCCAGCCAAGGTGGTCAGCCAAGGGGTTAATGCAGCAGCTGCTACACGCACAGAGCCTCTCACAGCCCCTACTGCAGACTGCAGTCCTGGCTTCTGCTCATCCCTTTTGCCCTGGCAACAGTCTGTGGCTGCAGGAGGAAAGCTGTAGTAACCCCCCACTACAGCAGCATCTCCTGAGCAATGTGAGGTTGATGAGGGGACCAGGGATATGAGTGCCCAGGTGCACCACTGGCCCTAGTGTTGCTGATTCCAGTTGCCAGCAACAAGGGACAGCCATAGATTTCATGGCATAGTATAGTGCCATTCTGGCACACCTTTAGCATTAGTGCCCCGGGCTCATGCCCCAGTCTTCCACAGGTGGCTATGCTACTGTTCTCCATACCTCTTCTTGTTTATTTCTGCAGATGGCTTGGCTGCTTTTAGAGCATTCCTGAAGTCAGAGTTCAGCGAAGAGAACATTGAGTTCTGGTTGGCCTGTGAAGACTTCAAAAAAACAAAGTCCTCTGTTAAAATTGCCTCAAAAGCCCAAAAGATTTATTCAGAATTCATCGGGGCCGATGCTCCAAAGGAGGTAACACAGTTATTCATAAATGTGTTGGGTATCTTTCTGGGGGGCAGGAGTAAAGATCTCCATTAAGCTTAGAGGTATCCACCACTAAAATGTTCTGATGTATAGGAACAGTATCTGTAAAAATTGGTTGTGCTCAACTGTTTCCCTGGCAGGCAAGATGGGCTGTACCCAGTCCATCTGCGGGATGGATCCAGCCAGTGGGCCTAATCCAGGGTCCAGTAAGGTCCAATCCATCCACAGCAGGAGTGGGGGGCATTGTCCAACCCCAATGCAGTCACATGAGGTGGGGCATGATCCAACCCTAATCTGGCCCCGGGGTGGGCAAAATGCGGCCCGCATGTGGTCCGCCAGGCCATTCTATGTGGCCTGTGGGGCCCCTACAAAATTTAGAAAATGAATATTTATCTGCCCCGGCTGCCTTTCATGTGGCCCTCAATAACTTGCCAAAACTCAGTAAGCAGCACTCCACCTGAAATAATTGCTCGCCCCTGGCCTAGCCCCTATCTGGCCATGCAGGGCATTGAGGGGAGGCAGTACTAATTGCTACTGCCCCCACACTGCCAGTTTCCCAACCAATGGGGAGTCCTGCAGGCTGATGCCATGGCTCTCTGGGTCAGACCTGGGCCAAGGTCCAGAGGCATTTGGACCACCTTTGGTCTAAACCAAGAGGCATTTATGAAAGAAAAACAGCTAGAAATACAGACAAATAAACTTCCATGCAATTTAAGTTCTAGCTTGGTTTTACTTCTTCATCAAGAAATATATGTTGTCTGGAGCACACAGATGCATGTATTGATTAAATAATATTTCAAGAAGACATGTTTGAGGTTCAGCTCTATGCCCAATATTTTTAGCAATGAGGAAGTCTATGTTCACTTTGCTTTGCTTTCAATTGACAATATGATTCTTTATGATACAATAAACAACATTTCCTCTACAGAGGAGGTAGACAAGAATGTGCCAGTGACCATTATGTTTTTCATTTCCTTTAACAGTTATTTTTGATGAGATGAATTTTGAAACATAACATTTCAAATATGCCTGTCATAATGTTCAATTTGATTATTATATAAGAAAATGCTTTGTGTGAATGAACAAATCTGCTAATTAATTTTCTCTATGATGTCCTCCCTCATAGGCTTTTACACTGTTGTTTCAGCTTTTGATTATGACAGAGCTTTGAATGTTCATATGTCTTATGGCTGATCAAAGCTGTATTAAGCATTATTAAAAACAGAAACCTTCACAAATATTGCGGGGCCAAAATCCAAGAAGGTGTTGAGTACTTGCAACTTGGAAAACAATTGGAGTTATTGCTTCCCAGGCTTTGGTACATGGGAAATATGAGTGAAACTATGTAACTGTAACTGCAGACAGTAACAAAAAATACATTATCCTAATTAAATGCTAATAGTGTGGTTTAGGAGTAAGAGAGAATTCAGTTGTCCTCACCAGTCACTTCATTTTATTTCAATTACATGCCCTTTTTCTGTGTGAGATAAAACAATACTCGGAGGGGTTTTCAATTAACAGCAGCCTAACCAATTAGAGTAAGGCAGCTGATGCCTGAGTAAATTATAACAGAAGGAAAGAATTATAATAGGAATTATCTAAATTATGTTCAGTTGATATTACTGAATGGCTGAGGAGAGAGAGCACCATAAGTCTGTGATGTTAACAAAACACATTCAAATTCAGATCTAGATATTTAGATCTAGAAATGAGGATCAAGATGCTGGAGAGGAAGTGGAATGTCCCTCTCAAGACCTTTACACAGTCTTCCTGCCTTGGTTCTCTGTGGGACTTGTGCTAAATTGATATCATTGGGAATTTGGTGCCTAAGTACCTTTCAAAATCTGGCCTTTAGGCACTTTTGAAAGCCCTTTCCTCCATTTATATTATTTGTGGGGTTTAAAAGAGGGATTTTATACTATCTCGCTTCTAGTTACTACACCATAACAGATGCCTGCTACTATACCACTTGCATCCCAAGTTCCAGATTATAGTAGTGGCATTTTTCCTACTATGTTTATACCTTTCTTTAGGCTAACCAAACCCATAAATACTTCAGCCTATGCAATGAATCAAAACTAAAACTAAAACAAAACAAAAATTGTTTCAAGAAAAAGTAGCAAGAAACAGATTAAAATCCAGGACATGATATCTGTATGATTAACAGGAATATTTTAAATATTTTTTTATCTCATTTCCGCAGAATAAGTTTTTCATTTATTTTTTCTTTATTTTTGTTTTATTAAAGAACACAGGCAAAGTCTATTGTAATTTGTCTTCTGAATTGACCAGATATGATATCGTTTATGAATATGAGTCCAAGGCAATTGATTATAATAGCTCATGGGATAATATCCAAAAAATGCTATTAGTTGGAATAGGCCAATTTTGTAACAGACTATAGAAATCTAGAAGGCTGAAGTAATACTGATTTAATCTTTATTACCTTATTATTGATTGTTACTCTTAAATCACTTGATAACCAGTGCACATCACTTTCACATGAATTTGTTGCTTCTATGTGTAATTTTCTTTGGATAATTTCTGATAATATTTGGAGAAAAGCATATGGCTACCCAAAAATGAAAAATAATCTTTCACATTGATAAATCCAAAGCATGTACCATATTTCGATAAAACAGCCACTTTCCAGAATAGAAAAATAGTTTACTAGTTCAGATTTAGAAACAGATAAACTGTTCAAGCATTATATATAATTTCTGAGTAGATTGTTTGGACCTTGCATCTACCTATGCAGGAGTAAGTGGGTGCTAAATATTACATCCATTATACCCTTCCCAAAACAGGCAGGTGGGGATTGGGTTCAGCCTTGTCTTCATTCCTTCCCATTCACTGCCTAATATGAGTAAGATGAAATGTGAAGTAACACATTTTCTTTCAGGCCGATATGTCTGCAGCAAATTTATGTCCTCTGTCCCACCCCTAAAACTGTCAGCTCTCTCCAAAGCATGGATGATTCATGTGAGAAGTTGAAGTTCACAATACATCTTGAAATTACTGCTGGGTTGAGGAAGCTTCTGTATCAATCCTGAGCTCGGGACTCTGCCTAAAGTCATACCCAAGCCCATTCGGGCTAAGTACAGATAGTCAAAAAGCCTGAGGCTGAATTGATTCAATCTTCACAGGCTACTCTGAGCTGCATAGATTGAACTCATAAACAAGTGAACAGACATTCACTTTTGATTCTGGAAATGCAGCCCACAGTGGCTCAGGCCAGAAGACTAGGTGTGCTGGAACACGCCTTCCTATGCCAAGGATAACCCACCCACCCTTCAAACAAGGATTCTGCAGGGGATGTGCAAAGTATCCTGGGATGCTAGGGGACTGAGTTAATTCAAATCTGGAGGGAATCTGGGACAGAATTTCAATAAACTGATTTAACTTAAATCAGTTAAGTCTGATACTACATCCATCTGGTTTATTTTAAACCAGTTTTAGCCATTTTGAAAGTGATATATATGCACTAAACATCTGTTGTGTTACAGATTTGAACCATTTTCTCATTACTTATACCAGTTTGTGTGTAATTACTGTCCCTAGCCATAGGGCAGCTTCCTCTTCAGAAGTTCCCATCAGGCTTTACAAACTTCAGTCAAGTTTCACAATAGCTGTCACATAGACAAGATAATTATTCTTACTTTATAGATGGGTAAGCTGAATCACATAGCTGGAGAACATGTTGTAGTCTGGGCTACTAGTCCAGGCTCCAGCAACTAGGAATGCAGGAACAGTTAATACTTGGGATTCTAAAATGTTTTACCACTGAGTGGAGAGAAATCATTTTGTGGGCATTTTTTTCCCATTCCTGGGCCTTCTCTGTTTCACAGTTAATTAAGATCACTGAAACAACCACAGCAATTGTTTATGTAAAGAGCAATATTAGGAAAATATCTAATATTTGAAGCTGGAACAAGGAGGAAAACTAGTACTATGTAATTATCTTATTCTTATGGACCACAGTGTTGTCTTTTTTTATAATTAACCCTCTAAAGATAAAGTACAGAAACTCTATTTGTACTGTGAGCCACACTGATTAATACCTTTACAATTAAGATGTTACACATCTGTGATTGATATGGAGAAGAGTACTCTGCTTCATTGATATTTATATAGCCATGGGAAGACAGGACAATTAAGATTTCCGAGTCTATGGAATTGTGTATAGTAAGGAACATCTTTTGCAAACGTTAGTTCTCAAAAAAGAAATGCAAATACTTTATTTTGGTAATATAATGCATTATCATTTTCTGCATGTATCTGTCCTCAAATAATAAGATGCAATGTTTTTCTTCTTTCTTAATAGATATCATATCTTTGGGCATCTTTACATGTTCTCTGGGACTAGAGTGGGGAGGGCAGGGTGCTTTAATTAGAGCAGCTCCAAGAGCCACTTTAATTAAAACACCTGCAGTATCTCATGTATTCAGCAACTCCATACTTCAAAATGGTAGAGGGGGGGCGCTTTCAACAAGCTTTAGTTAAAGCACTTCTGCCATGATTTTGAAGCTCAAGAAAGCTGAATGCATGAGACGTGGAGGCTGCTGGAGCATCTCAACTCAATTAATCAAGTTTTCTCTGACACACTGTAATTACAGAGCAGCATCCCTGCATGTCTACGGGTACCCTTTAAGACTAGAGAAGCAAATTAAACAAATTCAGTATGCTAGAAAGCAAAGGCATGACCTTCCTCCTGTTTTGCATCAGACTGTGTTTTGAGAAGAAATTCAAATAATTATTGTGTTATATATAGATACAAACTTCAGTTCTCCAATTAAATTTAAACTAATTTCTGTCACCCTCTCTCCACAGATTAATATTGACTTTACTACCAGGGACCACATCTCACAGAATATCTCAGAACCAACCATCAACTGTTTTGATGAGGCTCAGAGATTAATCTATAGTCTCATGGCCAAGGACTCCTTCCCTAGGTTTCTAAAGTCAGAAAGTTATAAGGAACTAGTAAATAAACAGCAACAGAATAGAAACCAGAAAAGATGGCTCCCATTTTTGTGAAGAAGGTAAATGTCAAAAACACAAGGGTTATAAATCTACCTAAATATATTTCACTGCAGTTCAGTACAGAATAATATATTATTTAACTGGTTATACAGAATAGATCTAAAGCTTCCTACTGCCATATGGTTTTGAAATCCAGAATACATCTAACATCATAACTAATAGCTCCCACTGAGAATTTTTCAGTGAAACATTCTTCACTGAAAAATTCTGATGCTAAGTCAAATTTTGGCACAGGAAAGGGATCAATTTAGCTAAATTCCTTAGCATGAAAATATTTAGAAAAATAGCTAAATGATTTTATCCTTTTAAAATTAAAGTTTTCTGATTTTAAAGAGCTTTTTAGCTTGAATTTCTAAACTAAACTATAAAAATGGTTGAAATCATACTCAAAACCCCTTAATTTATTAGAACCATATTTTCCTAGATATTTGCTTGAGAAAGGTTTAACATTTTGACTTTTCATACTGATTTGTGGAGGAAAATTTTCAAATCTCAGAAATGTGCACAGGATTAGAAAGTTCAGCTTTACTTTCTAATTTTTACTCAAAAATATTAAATATTTTACCACATTTTTAAGTTCATTAAACCATCTGAATTTATCTTCTGTCCAAGATAGGTTCATATCTAAAGAGGAATACTTTTAAAATACGCATAGTGATTGCTTGGGGAGATATTATAGATTGACCTGTATAAAAAAATCCAAAACACATTATAATTAACGATCCAGCTCACCAGCCCAGTTCAATCTGCTTTGGGCCATTCAGAAAGTAAAATCAAAGTGTTTTTT